TCGTGTCTTAGTGGTTAGAGTGACCGTCTTGCAAGTTCCTTGCAATGGCGGTGGGGATTCAAATCCCTATCAGAGGTTATACATCCATGATATCAATGCGGGATGGCATTATTCCATTTTCATATATATATATATATATATATATATATATATATATATATATATATATATATATATATATATATATATATATATATATATATATATATATATATATATTATATATAATATATATATATATATATATATATATATATATATATATATATATATATATATACATATTAATATATCAAAATATCATTATATCAGAACTGGTGTCCAGACTTATTTAGCGTTTTCTCCGCAGTGGTCAAAGCACCAACTTCACCTCTGGCTAAGGGTGGGGTTTGCAATACAAACAGTGAACTGTCCGAACAAGCAAACAGTGCAAGTGAAAGCAGTGTAAACAGTGTAGACAGTGCAGATTTATAATTTTGGAAGCCATACAGTTGTTCTGAATACGTTATTGTGCTTCATTGCGACCAAAAAGTTGTGGGCTAGGATGCTACTTCTGTGGGCAGCTGAAAAAGCATTACGCTCCCGAGGACATCGCGAAAGCACACAATATTGTAATTGAACTGTCCGATGCAAGACGTCCCAGACTCACAAGTGACACGAAAAGAATGATCAATGTAACAGTGCATACCATGCTAGATGATCTGTAGACAATAACAATATCATCTTCGCGTCAACACCAACAGAGGCGCCAAGCGACAAGATCCCGCCCGTCAAAAAGCAAGTGCCAGCCGACCCTACGTCCGGTGACTCGCTTAACATGCTTCAAAACAAAGTCGATGTGTTAATGGAAATGTTTATGAAGCAATAAGCAATCCTCAACAGTCTCTGAGAATGAGGAAAATATGTCGTGGCGTTCACCAGCACGGTTGCCCGGTAGGTCTGACAGCATCAATTCTTTGCCCGACACGTCTAGTCTCTCCCCTTTCCCTACCAGATTTCTCCTCACAATGTAGCCTCCCCAGACACATCCTGTTACCAACCTTTTTCCTTCTGCTCTCCTATCCCCCTCCTTAACTCCCCCACCCAACCAAACTCTAACACACCCATCGACACTCTCCCATCTCCCCACACTGAACCTCATGTGATCCCCAGCCCAGAACCTCTAAAGAACCCTGAACTGAACTACAGCCCCACGTCACCCTCCCCGAGTAATGCAACTACTAACCAGTGCTACCCGAACCTACCAGGCCAGTGTTTGTGCGGCACTGCAAGCGCGCGACCTTATCGACACAAGCGGGCAGCGCATTCCTCCTCGGCCGCCCGGCGTCAAAATCCCCTCTCAAGACCCAGACACTCATCATCAACAGAGATGAGCAACAAAGAAACACAAGTAACGCCTACACGCAACCACACTAGAAATAGCAAAAGGAGAAAAAAGTGAAATAGCAGAAGGGAATACGACAAGCAAGAAAACAGTTACCCTCCAACAACCGCTCCGAACCGCAAGTGTAGTGATGCAAAGTACCACCACATGCCCGGGGTTCCCCAGCCTGACAGTAGTAACACGGCTCCTGTTGTGATCAATAATAACTACAGTCAAAACATTGTAAGATATGAAATGTCTAATTCATAGAAAAAAGAAACAAGAAAACAAAACAGAACAAAGATCTAACGCTAAACCCTTACATGGGGCAACTAATCCAGAGGTGCTGTACCTTTACATAACAAACAGCCTTACAGACACAGAGGAATTGATATTATGCCAGCTTTACTTTTTCACTTAAAGGCAAGGCACTTGTAGCTGATGAATTTCTGGTCAGATTCCTCCCCCAACCTATTTGAATAGAAACAAGTGCAAAACCTCGCAACCCGAGCGGGATGTTTGATCAAAATGACTCGTCAACAAAAACGCCAGCTAACGCAAGACTCCCTAGCATTTACCTTGCAAATACTTGTTACCTTACAAACAAAGTGGACGAACTTGAAGTCATAATGAAACAAAATACTGTCGATATTGCAGTAATCACAGAAACATGGGTCAAGGACGATACATTAAACCTCGGAACCATACAGGAGTACCACTTATTTAACAAAATTCGTCGGGGCAGAATAGGTAGTGGCGTTGGTATTTACATCAAAGATATTATCCCTTGCAATACTATAAAATTCATCTGTCCATCAAATGACGACCTTGAGACATTATTGCTCGCTGTTAGACCCACATGGCTACCTCGCGAAATCAGTGTGCTGTTAATCTGTGGGATATTTCCCCCCCGAGGGCACCTACCGAAGAAAGCCTCAGAGAACACATAATAGAAAATGTTTTCATCCTCCAAGCTAAGTACGGAAATTCCTTCTTTGTAATTTTTGGCGACCTGAACACTTTTCCTGATTATAAAATCACCTCTGTATTGAATTTTAAGCAGGTTGTGTCCTTCGCCACGCGTGGGAAAAATGCCTTGGACAAAATCATAACAAAAAAAGAGCACTTTTATGAAAGTCCAATTTCCCTGCCCCCTTTAGGCAATAGTGATCACTTGTCGCTGCTCTGGGTACCAAAGAAGTACCAGGCACCCACGCAATTATAGGGAACAAAACGTATGCGTAGATTCCCTGACTCTAAAATCCGCGAGTTCGGATCATGGATTACACATCATGACTGGGCCGACGTTCTCAACGCCCCCGATCCAAATACTAAATACCAACTAGTCTATAAATCAACTGCTTCCCCTTGAAAAGAACATCCACTCACCATCGGGATAAACCATAGGTCCCCAAAAGGATCAAAGACCTTATCCTGTCAAGACAAAAAGCCCACAAAACAAGAAACATCGATGCAACAAAGTACTTAGCGAAAAAGGTGATACAAGAAATGAGATATATTACATATATATGTATATAATACACACACACACACACACACACACACACACACACACACACACACACACACACACACACACACACACACACACACACACACACACACACACACAATATATATATATATATATATATATATATATATATATATATATATATATATATATATATATATACTTGTGTTTGTGTGTGTGTGTGTGTGTATCAATTTATCTATTTATGTATATATTGTTATTGGCAATATTGTTATCATTATTATCATTAATGTTAGTCTCATCACATCATTATCATTTTATCACTATTGTTATCACTATCGTTTTTAACATAAGATTCGTTTTTAGAATAATGTCATTATCATTATTACCATTATCATCATAATCATAAGTATTTTATTATCACATGTTTTAGTATTGTCCTTATTACTGTTTTTTTGCTTTATCATCATTGCTGTTCATGTTGTGTTTTCATTATTACTAATGCTACTGCCGCTACTTCTGCTACTACTATCACTGCCACTATTTCTGCTGCTACTAAATATCATCTCTTTTGCAACTACTAAGCCTGTTTTTCTATTGTTATATCTCATTATGATGTTATGACTTACATCATTTGCCATATCCTTTTCATATCCTTTTCATATTTTCATATTATCACCCATTGTCATTATAACAATTCTAACGGTAAGGTCAATGAAAACGAGTGATGAAGATAGTGATAGATATAAAGGGAAATGCTAAATACAATGTTGATAACAATAAGAATTGTATACTATTAATAGCATAATGTATATAAAAGAAATTCTCTTTTCATGGATATGTGATTTGGCCTTTGTTTCAGCGTAGATATTTATAAAGCACGTGTCAATTGATATATTGATTTAAAAAAAAAGATAAAGAAAGACAATGAAAAGCAAGAAGGGAGAGAGAGAGAGAGAGAGAGAGAGAGAGAGAGAGAGAGAGAGAGAGAGAGAGAGAGAGAGAGAGAGAGAGAGAGAGAGAGAGAGAGAGAGAGAGAGAGAGAGAGAGAGAGAGAGAGAGAGAGAGAGAGAGAGAGAGAGA